AAACTTCATGTGTAATGCAATTTAGTTTAAATATTTTTAATTATGAAAACTGCAATACTATACAACATAAAATAGTTGAAACCTATTATATACCCATCCCTAGATAATAGCTATCAAGATTTTGCCATATTAACTTCCTTCTTTAAAAATTTCTTTTGAAATATGTTAAAGCAAATCCCAGATATCAAGCATTAAGGGTTTATTAAGATTACAGTATTAATAATAAACAAATATTTTAAGACAAAACTTAAATTGGACATTTTCAAAATATTCAAAACATCTCTGTGGAGTATGATTTGTTTGCCCCTACCCACTTGCAGTCCAAAAGAAATTGTGAAAAAGATGTGTGAATGCTTTAAAAAATAATTTCAGCAATGCTCAGATCTTTCATCCTGGATTAGGATTAGGAGGTAGGAATTGCAGGTCATCTATCTCTTGAGTTTTCTTTTTTAAATCATGTTTTCACTGATTCTATTATTACTTCAGATATATAAGTCAGAAAAGCACTTAGTTTGTGCTTTATAAATATTTCATCATTTATACTTTCTAATATTTGCTTCATTTTTTTCTAGTAAAACCCAAATTAAGAAAAATCTTATTTTTCACAAGTGATCTAGAGAATTCCTGACCTAGCCTAGAGATAGAAGTCCTAAAGAAGAAATAACATTGCTTTAAAGTTTGCATTTTAGTTAGTTAAAAAAGAGATATTTGTTTTTAAAGCCATTTTTGTATCTACTTTTCCAAATTTGCTTTTTTATTTAGTTCTTTTGGTTTTAACACCTAGGGTGTTTGAGCTGTTGTTTTGTTTTGTTCATTTGCTTTTTACACAGTCTATTTAATTCTGTTCTGTAGAATAGGTAATACTTGTGTTTTTAATGTCCTAAGTTTCAGTTCTACTTATTGTATAAAATTGTAACCCTGGAACTGTCAGGCTGGACCTGTGAACTATACCCATAGTGACCTGCCTGCCTTCAACTAGGTTATTGGTATCTGAAGATTCCTCCAAACCAGTTTTAACCTATAAAATGTTATCATCACATAATAGGCATTGCAGTAGACCCTTGCTCTACTTATCCTTCTTCTAAATGGCTGTATTCTTGGTATAATTGTTACTCATATCACTTGGATAATGCACATAGGTAATTTGGGATAAGAAAAGTTATTTTAGAGTGTAGTTTCTTTTCAGGCTGCACCACCATCCTGGCTGAACTTTAGAGATGCTTAATAAAAGTGAAGAGGGAAGAAAGAGCTTGCCATTTGTCTATGTGAATTCAGGTATTACAGAATATTTACCAATGCCAGAATTATATTTAATAGATGACTTTTGTTTTGTTTTAGAATCACAAGCTGATGAACACCTGGTAGCAGAAGTGGTTAAAAAATGTTCATCTGAGACTGGTTTTAGATCTTCAGCAAGTGAAGAGCCACATCTGGCCATTGATTCTCACTCAGTCAAGGATGTCAAAGAAGAACCTCAACATGATGTTAGCAAAATTTCAGTAGTGAGACCATTTTCAATAGAAACCAAGAATTCCATAGATATCTCTGCAGCTCTTGGAACAAAAGCAGCCCATGGCTGTGTAACCTTAGTCTCAGATGAGGCTTTGCCCTCCTGTGCTCCAGAAGCCACCCAGGACAAGGCAATGACAGATGGCAGCATGGGGGTTACGCTTGATGCTTCTGCAGAGGCTGATTTGAAAGCTGAAAGCTCTTGTCCAGAGCCTGTGGCCAGCAGAAGCAAGCTGAGAAAGCCCAAACCTCTCTCCCTAAGGAAGAAAATAACTGGGGGAGCATTCTCAGAAACGGAAACTGTCATGGAAGGCGCACTTCTCACCAAGGCACCATTCAATCCCAATGAATTGGATAAGAGCACACATCCTTCTTTGCTAGGAGATGCTGGAAGCCAGAAATCTCTCCCTGACCTTAATGAAACTTCAGGCACTCTCAGTAGTGACACCAATGACTCCAAGGTTGAGCTGCAGGAAGAGTTGAGGAGTTCATCTCTCAAACTTGAATTTGATTTCACAGAAGACATGGAGAATGTAGAGGCCAGGAAAGCCCTTCCAAGGAAACTTGGCAGGAAACCGGGTAACAGACTGACTCCCAAGATACCAAAAGATGGCCTCAGTGAGCCAGTAGGTGTAGAGCAGCCTGCAGACCCAGCAGCCGGAGACACCCTTCTCTCCCAAGTGTCTTCTAAGCTAGACCTTAGTCAGTGGGATCACCCCAGTTTTAATCCCTTTGGGAGCCACTCCATTCTACAGAACTCCCCACCCCTCTCCTCTAAGGGCTCCTACCACTTTGACCCAGATAACTTTGATGAATCCACGGATCCCTTTAAACCAACTACGACTTTAACAAACAGCGACTTTTGTTCCACCACTGGTAATCATGTTAATGACATCTTAGAGTCACCCAAGAAGGCAAAGTCGCGTTTAATAACGTGAGTGATAGTGGGTGCTGGGTGTTGTGTTTTGTATATCTCTTGAGTTTGGCAGCCAGCTGCTTTTGGTTTTGGTGAACCATTTATCTTTGACGTGCAGCGGTTGCAGACACAAAGCTTATAACTTTATGCTGCAACCTTTACTATATTGCCTAACTCCTGTGTAGAATCAGAAACTCTATAGAGATTTCCTTTGTAGATTTCTGCCTTATTTCCGAATCCTCAGCTTATTTGGCTAAACTTTCTCTCCCCTCTCCATATATATTTTTTATGATTAAATCAGATAAAAATTTGATGGTTTTCAGAAATCCTTGCTGGGAAGAATTCCAAGCCTACAAATACCTGTCTAGGTCAATTACTTGCAAAATGGTTCTTGTGGAATCTTTTTACTTAAACAGAAAGTAGAAACTTATTTTTGTTTTTTGGAAAACTACCATAAAAAGTTGGTGAGAATTCTTGTCTCTATGTATAGTTTCTGGTTCATTAGCAAAAAGGCAAATTTCTGATAAGAATTTTTTTTTTTTGAGAGCAAAGTAACAGGATTTATTAGAGTAATAGGAAGAAAGCAGAGTTCCCAAAGAGGGAAGGTTCCCAAGAGAGGGATACCGATAAGTGGTTACTATCTAGGGGTTCATATAGATCTACAGGTTTAAGGAAGTCAGCCCCTGCCAATCCTGGGTAAGGCACTCAGTGTCCACGAGATATTCATGCAGACTTTGGTCCAATCAAAATATCAACCAGGGGCTGGGGATGTGGCTCAAGTGGTAGCGCGCTTGCCTGGCATGCGCAGGGCGCTCCTCAGCACCACATAAAAATAAAATAAAGATGTTGTGTCCACTGAAAACTAAAAAATAAATATTTAAAAAAAATATCAACCAGGCATTTTTCTTTCTTTGGAGAGGCAGAGACCCCAGTCATGTAGGTCCTGATTTGAAAATAGCCTTTTTGTAAGTTTCTTAGCAAATATCTGTAGGTGCTGTTTGCTTTACTGCCCAGGAAGTTATCCAGGGGGCCCTGATAAGAATATTTTAAATGATCAGTTAAATCTGAGTAAATTAGTCTTTTGTCATGTGCTCCTCCCACCCTCCTCATTTCTCCCGGGATACCTGGATGGACTTTTGCATGTCTTTGGAGTCTCTGGAGTGATTCCTCTGGTGATATTCCATGTCAAGCTTCAGTTTAACTTTGTTATAGGATTACCTTATCTCACTAGTTAAATTGAATAAGTGACAGTTATAATCCTTTGTAACCCTGTGGCATTTTACTAAAAGTTAGACATAAAGAAGGACTAACAAAATGGAGGATGAAATGTGAAAAGGGAGTATGAGAAGTATACCATATTTGTAGTTTTCATGAGATAAGTTGCAGAAATGCTTGTCAGCATTACTATGACTTATAAGAAAAACACCAGGTGGTGAGTTACACTGGAAAGGAAAATATATCCAGAGGTTTAAAGAGAGCAGGTATCGGGCTAGGTTGTGGCTCAGCGGTAGAACACTCACTTAGCACATGTGAGACCCTGGGTTTGATCCTTAGCACCACATAAAAATAAATAAATAAAATAAAGATATTGTGTCCAACTACAACTAAAAAATAAATATTAAAGAGAGAGAGAGAGAGAGAGCAGGTATCCATTTCGAGACCAAAGAGGTTGAGGAATGTAGACGTTAGTTCTTCCGCAGCCCTCTAGCATGTCTAAGAGGAATGAAATTCCATTAGTAGCTCTGGATTTGTTCTGTGATTACATATGAACAGTTAAATGATCATTGAAAAATATTGTTGATGGGTATCTACACAGTTTACTTTTGTGGCTTTTAAGGTTAGATACCTCTGTGTAGATCACACTTGGGGCATGTATTGGGCATGTTGCCACCTTGATACTTCCTCCTCTAAATATGAGAAGCTTCTGCGTAAGAAGTCACTTGGGAGCCTTCTTTTCAGTTACATACATTCAGTTACATATATAGCCAGTGCACTCATGTTAATGAGACTAAATCTGGGCCAAAGAGGGAAAATTTTATTATATGCTTTATGTTCAGTACCAGGAACCACCCTCCCTTGAGTTCTACTATCTTCCCTCGGTAGCCTTTTCTTCCTATTCTGTTTTCATTAAATGAACTTCTCAATCTAATATACCTTTATATATATGGTTTTAAAATTCTTGTACAATCAAAACTCCCATTTTCTTTCTTAACAAAGCAGTGCTAGCCAGCTTTTCTAATGCTAGGATTTTGGTTAGCAGGGCCCTTCATTTGTAGGAAAGACTGAAAATATAACATTTGGTGGTAGCATCTAGTGGATAGTTTTGCATGGCATTCAAAAAGACATGTACAAGAGCTGGGCATGGTGGTGTACTCCTGCAATACCAGCAACTCAGCAGGCTGAGGTAGGACAATCATGAGTTCAGAGCCAGCCTCAGCAATTTATCAAGGTCCTAAGCAGCTTAGTGAGACACAGTCTCAAAATAAAACATAAAAAAAAAAAAGGTCTGGGGATGTGGCTCTGTGGTTAAGTGCCCCTGGGTTCAATGCTTACACGTACCCCCCCCCTCCAAAAAAAAAAAAAAAAAGATGCATAAGATTGGCTTCTGGATTCCTCTATAAAATGGAGACACCAGAATATGAGCGGAATTTTGCTGACCAAATAAGATAAATTATGTGAAATAATGTTCAGCTTCTTAGTGATAGATACCTATTGTAGAGATATCTGGATATCTTTTCAACTGTATTTTTGTTTGCCTTTGATCTGGATGACTTGACAGTTTAGAATAAACATGCTCAGTAGTGAAATATTGTTTTTAAACATTTACACATATTTGGAAAGTTTACTTCTCATCTATAAATTGAGTATGTGGCATTTCTCAGTATACCATTCTCTAAGTCCATTAGACATGAGGTGCTATTGATCATTCACTCACTAGTGCCAACATTCATGAAGATGTCATTTTTAATTTTTATCTCACCTCATAGAAAGTACTATACAACTTTTACATTTACCAGAATAAGATAAATATTCTAGTCTTCACATGATTTTTTTCTACATCTGTCTGTCTCTTTCCTGTCTCTAATTTTGTTGGTGCATCAGGACTACTGAGCAAGTGAAATTTCTCTGTTTTCTGTTGTAAGTACTTTTGCTGTTGTTTCTGTTTGTCCCTGGGACTGTTGGCAGTTTCCTCTCCCACTCCTGCTCCAACTATCTTTCCATAGCATGTTGGCTTCTATTTTTGAGTTTGATCTTTTGATTATTATTATTTTGCATTTCATTTGCCACTTCATAAGTCAGCTTAGCATTGCAACTGTGTGTACCTAAAGGAGTAGAGATGCCCTACCCACCTTAGGTGCGAGAGCTTATGTCCCCGGCTTGGCACACGTCATGTGGCGCTTTAAATACCAAGAGCTGGCTTGGCCTTAGGATCATCACAGCAGTGGTTTGAGAGACTGCTCTGCTATTTAATGTTGTAAATAATTGGATTTTTTTTGATAGGATAAGGCTGCTGACTTGGAGCAGGTAATTATTTTACTGATAAATTTTATTGAGTCAACTCAAGTTTGGTGGCAGTGGGTAGCACTTAGACATTAGGGAAAGAAGACCATGAATAAAGTGGTTGTGCACATTGTATTACTTTATGTGCTTGTTTTAAAATTTTTTTCCCACCAAAGAAAAGCAAGTTATAAATAATTCTTTTATTGGTCAGCGTGGTATTTTTACTGATATTTTTCAGTTCATTAAAACAGAGCAGAATCTGAATTAGTCCTGTGATCACAAATTATGTGCTAGTCTAAAAATAACAGGTGGTCCCAAGTTTTCCACTGTTCTGGACTTTGTATAGTACATGGTGTTCATCTTTTATCTTACTCCTTAATAAGAAAGATAACAATTAATTAAAATACTTTCATACCTTGTTTACCACAGTTCTTTTCTGTAAGCACCTAGGTGTAGACTGGAGCTGTCTTACGAGGCTTCTGTTGGCTTTTAGTGCAATAAAGAATTTTCAAAGAATCTCGTCCAGCGTGATGATTTTTCTGGTAAGCGTCAATGCCTAGTGAGAAAAGACAAGAAGAACCAAATGTCTAGCTGCAAGGCTATCTCATCTAAAAGGATTTTGGTGGTGTATAATTAAAGATGGTAGGGGTCAGAGTACTGATGTTTGACAACACACAGAAACAAGTGAAGTGGTCTTTTCAGAGAAGGAACCCAGCTGTCTTTCTTTGCTCACCCTGTCTCTTTAGAGAAGATTCAGAGGCAGCAAAGCTGTCTCTACATCTCTACTGAGCAGGTGTATGATTTGTGTGGTGCTGTATGCTTTGCTTTTCTCTGCACACACTGTGCTTTGCTCCATCTCATACCTTGAAAGTTGGCATTGTGATTCCAAACTGTCCTGTTGGTCTTTTTTCTCTTTCCAGGAGTGGCTGTAAGGTGAAGAAATACGAAACTCAATCTCTTGCTTTGGATACTTGTTCTCAGGTAAGACTGTGCCTGTCACCAGAATGTCTCTTAGACCTATAGTCCCTTGACTAGAGTTTGCATCCTCTGGAGGAAGTTCATAGACATTTTCTAGTGGGTGTCTGAGTATTCATCTTTAAGAAAACTAATTTTTAGATCCTTACTGTCCTAAAATCATCTGGGAAGTTCCCTGAAGACAAGGGAACTCTCACAATGACCCTTTTTTATTTTTACCTTTTAGAAAAAATTCCCACTCTAAATCTTAGAAAGATGTTCACCACAGAGTGTGAAAAACTTCCAGGGCACCAAAGGGAAGATTTGAAATATTGGTGTAGGTTCTCAGACAGTAATTGGCTTTACTAACTGAATAATAATTTGTTTAAGTCAGGTGGTTTTCCAGTTTATTGCTTTCAACAAAATAGGATCTGAGTTGTCAGCTGATAGATAAGTATTGATGATAGAATCTTTTGGCACATAACTTGGGAGAGGATTCAGAGATTTGAAAGACATTTCTATTACAAAACTTTTCTTTAGCTTTATGTTTCTATGTATGTAAATAAGGTTGATTATTGATTTATTAATTTAGAAACCAGGAACAAAATTGGTGCAGACACTTATTTCATTCTAGCAATAAATAATATCCATTGTGACTATATGAAGTAATTGGAAGCAAAAAAAATCAGGTTTATCTGATTGCAATGAGATGCTTTTTTAAACTTTATTTCAGCATAACTATAGTTACAGAAATATATTCATATTTAATAGATCAATTTAAGTTTAACTCATCCTATATGATTTGGACCAGAAATATGATGTGTAGCTTAAAATATTAAGAAAGAGGTGGAGCGATTACAATATGAATTATTTTGTTCTTCATCTATTACAAATGTATGAAAGTCCCTCCTTCAAATTTTACCAAAGCAGGCAGCAAGAACAATGAAGAAAAAATTTAAAATGAAGAGACTTATGGTCAAAGGAAAAATTATTTAAATTTTACAAGGAACCTTTAAAAGACTTTCAGTCATATAAGTATATTTCACTGGGTTATTTTTTGATGGAAGTGGAGTGGAATACAAATTCAGAAAGAAGAAAGAATAATATGAATTTATGACCACTGAAAAACTTGTTTGGGTAGCTTTAAAATGGGTCACCGGATATCAAATAAGAGGTTTTATTTTTTTTTTTAGTATATTTTTTTTAGTTGTATAGTAAATTGCATTAGACAAGATCAGTAGTTAGACTATACCATATATTGCATCCACTGCAGTTATTTAAAGACAATTATCTTAAAATATTTGTTATTAATTATTTAAAGATACTTTTTTGTGCTGAAAACTTTTTAGGTGAGACTTAAAAACACAATAGGGTGCATGGGTTTTTTTAAAAATTAGGAGGTATCTGAGCAAGAAATTTTGTGAAAACCACTGCTTTAAATCTCTTAAACTGTTTGCCTATAAATTTAGGCTAGAAAAATCTCAATTTTTTCAAACCCTGGACTCAAATTACAAAAGCTAGTTTCTAGAAAACACAGCATTTCACAATTGAAAGACTCCAGCAGTCTTCTGGCTCTAGACCTGGCTCTGCAATTAACTCCCTTGTATTGGGGCCACTTGCTCCATTCCTGAGGTGTCACTTTTCCCCATTTTTGCCACTTTTTTTTTTTTTAGAATATATGCATATATACTAAAAAAATGGATACAGTACCTTTATTTTGTTTGTTTTTATGTAGTACTTGGGATCAAACCCAGTGCCCACATGTGCTAGGCAAGCACTCTACCAATGAGCCTCAACACTTTGCCTTTTTAATAGATAATGTCTTTGTTGCTTTTCCCAGGATGAAGGAGCAGTGATCTCCCAGATTTCAGACATTTCCAATAGGGATGGCCATGCTACTGATGAGGAGAAACTGGCATCCACATCATGTGGTCAGAAATCAGCTGGGGCCGAGGTGAAAGGTGAGCCAGAGGAAGACGTGGAGTACTTTGAATGTTCCAATGTTCCTGTGTCTACCATAAATCATGCGTTTTCATCCTCAGAAGCAGGTACGGAAGCATATCTTCATCTTTGTTATGTACGTAAGCATAGAAATGCCTGAAAGTCTGAAAGTAAGAGATGCCTTAGATAAGAGAATTGGGTCACTTGATGGATAGATTTAGAATGCTTATCTACACTTTGCTTTATCTAGAAAAGAGATACAGGAAAGTGCTTATTGAAGTACTAGGGACTTATGGACGAGTGTGGCAGTATGTTCAAGAGAAATTATTGCTTGAATTTTCTTATGACTTTGTGTTAATGTTAACTTCCAGAAATAATAACAATTAGCATGTATAGTGCCATTCCATGTGCAGGCATTGTTTTAAGTGCTTTACTTGTATTAACTCCTTACTGCTCACTACCTGTTGCTCTTTTTGCTATTCTTCAGAGAAACAAAGTGAGGCACAAGAAGCTAAGTAGCTTGACCAAGGTCACTTGGCTAGTATAGGAGGGAAAGGGATGTTTTTTCCTTTCCCATTGCAAGGTTCATGGCTGAGACCTGTATAACAAAAGACAGACTAATGAGAAAAACATACAGATTTATTTAACACAAGTTTTACAAGGTACAGAGCCTTTCAAAATGAAGACCTAAAGATACAGGGAAGATTGTTTTTACAGATAGTTATAGGAAGTACAATTAGAGGAAAGAAAAGTAGATCTGGAGGGAACTTATAACAAGGGCTATTTGTTGAGATTCCTCTCATTGTCTCTGCCTTCAAGGATGAGAATGTTCTTTTTCTCTGAATATTAGGAGTACCTCTCTGGAATAAGGGTCTTATAATCTGTTATCAGGGGAAGATGAGAGAATTCTTTTACGTCTTGCATCGGGGAGAAGGACAGACCTTTCTGCTTCCTCAAATGATGAGGTACCATATTTGAGGGCAGTGTGCTCTGAACACTGTCACTAACAAATGGTAGAAACAATTGGAACCTAAGCAGTCTGTTTCTATGGCCTTTTAGCTGTAGTGCTAAAGTGTGGAATGATTATTTTCATTATGCAAGGCTACTATAAGTTTGTCCTGAATGTGATACATTAAAATTGACAAGTACCTTATAAAATTCTTCTTAGTTTTCTAATGAAGAACCTGAATTAACTTTAGCTGAAGCCTTTTCCTATGGGACTCTTCATATCATTTTAGAATGAAGACCCTAAAATGGCTCCACATAACATCTGTGGAACTTAACTTATGAAAGATTTGGAAATGTGTACCTGGTTACTTTCAACATTATTAAAAACTTAGATCTTCTTAAGCAACACAATTCTTACCCACACAATAGTGTAGGCTTTTTCTTAAGAGTTTAGAAAGTCATTCTCTGCCATTCTGCATCAAAGAAAACAGATGGAAAATCGGACTTTGAGCAATTTATTCTCTTCAGCCACCTCCTAGCCCCTCAGGCCTCAGTTTCTCATTTACTGTTACTATGACAGTTAACTAAGATAATCAACTTATTAAGAGAAAAGGTTTATTTTGGTTCCAGGGCATGATCAGGTGGCCCTTGGCTTTTAGGCCTGTGGTTGGGGTTGCCCAATCCCAGTAGTGGGGGGCATGTGATGGAGCGTAACCGTTCATCTCATGGTCAGGAAGCAAAAAAGAAGTAAGGAAGTGGGTGGAGTCCCACAGTGTCCTTCAAGGGCACCCCACACCCATGCCCAGTGACCTGAGGACTTCCCAGTAGGCCCTACCTCTTAAAGATTTTGCTATCTCGGGGTTGGGGATTTAGCTCAGTGGCAGAATGCTTGCCTAGCACGCACATGGCCCTGGGTTCGGTCCTTAGCCCTGAAAAAACAGAAAGATTTTGCTATCTCTTAACAGTACCATCCTAGGGACCAAGCCTTTGGTGGACATTTAAGATCCTAGCTATTGCACCATGCGTAACATTTCTGGTGTCTTTCTTTAAGGCCTTGTTCACCACTACCCCTTTTACCCCACTTTCTCAATGTTAATTCTTAGTACTCATACCTGCTCTTGTTTCTTGTCCATATCTGAAGTATCTTTCTTTGACATTTCCCACAAAAATTCCACCTTTTTTTCCAAGTCTCTCTGCATGTTCCTTGAGTCCCAAGGAACCTCTGCTCCCACCATGTTTCTTCTTGCCCTTTCAGCTCTACAGTACCAGTGCCATGCACTCATTGTAGGAGGGTGGCTTTTGTATCTATCTTATTTGTCTCCAAGTTAGGGATTATTAGAGATGTGTCTTTGAATTTCCTCTGACACAGTACATGGTAAATATTCATTGAAATATGTTCTTCCCTACTGGAGGAAATTCCTTGAAGAGGAATTTCTATTAGATAACAGCACTATTCTCAAAGTTGGTAAATCGGCTAGTTGGCTTTGGAAAAGCACAAAAGATTTAAACAAGCTGTTACACTGTAACTTGTTAGCTGTATCAAAGGAACACTCCAAGGCTGTGGTCTCTGGGGACATAGGGGTGCTACAGGCTCTGGTACTGAAATCAGAGACTATTGGCTGGAGAGAGAGTCACCTTAGAGATGCTTCTTAATGGATACATACATGGGTGTTCCTCTAGAACCAAGAAACTCTCACTGATGGGAGGTAATCTGCTGTGTTGATATAGCCCCACTAGCTTTCTGTGAGTAAAGGGCAAATGGGAAAAGGAGGTTGTAGTAAGGAATTTGGGTTTTTGTTTTTGTTTTTGTTTGTCTGTCTAATTTAGTACAATATCACCTCTGGTGGTGGAGGGAAAAATAGACCTCACACAAGGTAACTGTTTACAGGGTATAGAGAAGATAATAAATTTAGTTTTGCAGGCTCAAAATTTAAAGCTTAGTATTTTATATGCTGTATTAATTAGACTGAGAGTGAGTTCTTCTGGGCTGGAATTTAAATTCAGACTTGGTAATAAAATAACATTCATTGTTAATAGTTTCCTCTTCCTGAAATAATACCACTGTTAGTACAACTCATTTGCTGAACTTTTCAATGGACACAAGGGGGCAGCCTTGATGTTCTTTCTGTTCGACCATTGACATTCTGTTTATGGCTGAGTGTATATTCCTCTTCTGAATGTTATGGACTTCAACACTAAACAGATCAACAGAACTCAACAGAATGCAAGTGCTCATTTTAAAATTTCAAAACATTGTTGGTATGTTTGTAGTGACTTTGGACCTGTACTGAAGTTCCTAAGAGTCTTTCACCAAGAAAGAAGGAACTTCTTGGAATAACTATAAAAATGACTTTCTGTTTTAGGTGTAGAGAAAGAATCGTGTCAGAAGATGGAAAAAGACGGATCTACTGTACTTGTAAGTTTTCAAATTCGGAGAACAAGGTGGAACTCTGGTTTTCTTCAGTATTTGATTTGAAGCCCATATTATAAATTTGTTAAAGTCTAGTCATTGTTAGGTGATGATGATGAAATTGTGTATGTGTGTGTGTGTATTTCTTTTTTTTTTTTAGTTGGACACAATACCTTTATTTCACTTATTGATTTTTATGTGGTGCTGAGGATCGAGCCCTGGGTCTGGCAAATGCAAAGAGAGCGCTCTACCACTGAGCCACAAACCCATCCTTGTGTGTGTGTATTTCATATGTACATATGACACATTTTCTTCACTGGAGGAACTCATAGTTTATGCATAATGTTCTATACAGTAGCCAGTAGCCACATGTGACTGACTGTTGAGCGCTTGAGCTGTAGCTAGTCTGAATTGAAATGCCCTGTATGTGTGAAATACAAACAGTATTTAAGACTTATTACCCCCCCAAAAAGGGATTATTAAATGTCACAGTAACTTTTTATATTGACTACCTGGTGAGATGATGATATTTTTGATCTATAGAGTTAATTAAACTATATTATTAAAATTAGTTCTACGTGTTTCTTTTTATTTTTTATTGTAGCTACTAGAAAATTAATAGGTACATATGACTGCCAGTATATTTCTGTTGAAGTGTACTGATATAAGACACAAAATGCAAACTAAAAATACCCCCTGGAAAATGTTTTAACAGAATGTGTTCAGGGCTGTCTGACTACATGGCAGGTGTTGAGGTTGGATGTGAGCTAATAAAAAGCAAAAAAGTTTTTTCATTACAGAGGATTGAACCCAGGGGCCCTCTAGTACTGAGCTACATCCCTAGGAGTTCTCCTTCTCTCTCTCTCTCTTTTTTTTTGAGACAAGGAGTTGGTCCAATAAAATAAATAAATAATTTTTAAAAAAGGAAATAGGAGGACCTAGGAATGGTGTAACACTAGAATGATCCTCAGTTGACAAAGGTGCATCATTGAGATTGTTTCCCTGCCTGTGAACATCAAGAACCAAAAATACAGAATGCTTCATGATTTTGCATGCCATGTTGCACAGGTGCCATACATATCTTCTCCATATTGTTTCAGTTTCAGTATATGTGCTGCTGAAGTATTTTTTTTTTCTTTTAGTAGGATTTCAGTAAGTTGCCCAGGCTGACCTCAAACTTGCTGTCCTCCAGTCTCAACCTCCTGAATAGCTGGGATGCCACCACGCCCAGCCACAAAAATCTTTTTTTATCTCTTTATTTTCAGTTTTAGATATACAGGAATTCCTTGTTCTATTTTTATATATCTTACCCCTACTATTCAAATTATTAACATTTTACGCACAATATAGTTATCTAAATCACTAATACACTTATACTGATACAGTACTATTAGTTAATATTTAAACCTTGTTCAGATTTTTTCAATTGTCCTACTAATATCCTTATGCTAGTGCAGGCTTCAACACAGGATCCCACAGTGCGCTTAGCTCTGTGAGCACTCTACCGCTGAGAGGTAGAGAGAAAATGGTCACATGGGTAACTTAAAGCCATTTGCCTTGTACTCACAGAAAGCTAATGGGGCTATTATCAACATAGCAGATTGTGCTTTGTGAGCACAATCCCCTTAGTCTCCTTTCATCTGTAACTGTTTCTCAGTTTTTGTCTCTAATGACCTTGACAGTTTTGAAGAGTTCTGTTCTGTTAAGTGCATAGTACATCTTTCAGTTTGGGTTTTTCTGATGCTTTTTCATGATTAAATTCATTTTATTTGTCTTTGGCACAGATACAGCAGAATTAATGATGTA